GGTGGAGGCCCCCCCCCCCAGCCTTGCACCAGGAGGAGAGGCTGCAGGCAAAAAGTAGGGAGGGGAAGCCAGAGTGACCTCCCCACAGCATCCCGGGCTAGGCCACCAACAGCATCTCAGAGGTAAGACCCCGAGGCTTGGCTTCAAGATCAAAGGATGGGGAAGACCGGAGCTGGAGGTCTGGAGATCAGAAGGTCCTCGAGGGATCTGTCTTTCCTACAAGCTGGACCCATGCCTGCCCCAGGAAGAGTCTGGAGGGACTCCCCCAGCTTTGAGCACAAGTCAGCGTACAGGGACACGGCCCTGTTTTTCCCACCCTCACCTTCCTCCCCCGAACTTTGACTGCTGAGCACAATGACAACGGTGACTTCCTGAAGAGATCACATAGAAAAGTGCCGAGTGCGGCGGCTGGGAGCCAAAAAGTGCCTCCTCAACGGATTTCACCCTCGGCAGAAGGCCTGAACTCAGCACAAGTGCAGCCAGTCGCCTCCGAATCAAAGGTGCAGGATGCCTGTGCTGGGGGGGGGGGGGGGGGCCTCTGCAAAGCAGGTGCTTCTAGCTCCCTGGCTTGGCCTCTGACAACTGGGAGACAGCCTCTGGGGACAGGCTGAGAGGGATGCTTAGAGCATCTTTGGGAGCCAGAAGAAGGGGATCTTGGAGGCCGGATCAAGGAGAAGCTGCCCCTACCACAGCCCTCCTCCCAGTCCTGAAGGCTGCTCGGAGCTGGGGCCCAGTCAGCCTTCGCCCTCCTCTTCCCCAGAGGCAGGGATGGTCACAAGGGCTCCAATCCACCAAGGTACCCTGGGTCACCCTCTCAGGCTACGAGCCAGGAAAGGGAAGGCGGTTCAGACTGCTCCGTGCCTTCTGCGGGTCGCTCCTTCACCCCGGCCTGCATACCCTAGGGGCCACAACAAACTCCCGCAGGCGTGGCCCTGACTCACCCGCCCTTCAGACCACCTCCTTCAGAACCACACTTAGTTTCCCCTGAAGCACCGGTGACTGAGGAGTCTTAAAGAGACACACTCTAGGACACTGCATGTCCCTAGGGCATAAATTCCAGCCCAAGGATGAACTGAAGTGTTAAGGCATCTGGCACCTGTAAGCTCCAGCATGACTGTGAAGGTGTGTGTGGAAAGGGGACCATCCCTGGGGACAAACCACGAGGTCAGCCCAACTAGCCATGAACTCCAGGGCAAGGGAAGCAGTAGGGAAGGGTTAGCTCCCATCTACCTCCGACCCCCAGGCCACACCACCCTCAGGCCGTCACTTCCCGAGTCCCGGGCTGGCTGGGCACCTCCAGGACACACTCTCCTAACTTCGTGCCACACTGAGACCCCACCTCAGGTGGGAACGACTTTGGGGGTGACTGGAGATTACGTTTCCCCCCCATGCTGTCCACACCAGTCCATCTGCTGCACCCCAAAGGCTGGGCATCCTCACAGCTCCCACCTCCCGCAGCCTCAACGCAGACTCCAAGGCCGGCCTCACAGGGGAGCAGGACGCCTGGCTCCCCTGCAGTCAGGTCCTGCCTGTCATTCGCAATTTCCTGGTGGAGCTGCTCCTGCTTCCTCCCGGCCCTGCGCACCGTCGCCCAGGACCCGGTACACACACCCCCCTCTCCCACTGCCGCCCTCTCGGGCCAGGGTGTATCCTTCGCTTCTCCGCCCAGGGGCTGCCCAGCCTGGACAGCCAGACCAGTCACAGGGAGGGCCTGCTTCCGAGCCCGGCCGGCCCGGCCCACCGAGGCTCCTCCCCTCCCGTCTCTCAGAGAACTATTTCCCGGTTGGGGGAACTGCCCCAGACGTGGGACGGGGACCAGCTGCCCGAGAAGGGCTGCCTGGGAGGGAATGGGCAGGCCGGGGCTCCACCTTCCAGCGCGGGAGCAAACTTGCAATGCGCCCCTACACTTCCTCCGCACGCACCCCTGCCTTCAACTCGCACGTGCGGCCCAAACTTAAACAGGCGCCCCCAAGCCCCTGGGCCAGCCCCTTCGCATCGGGCCCGCGGTCTCCCTGCCCCCCACCACCCCGCTTCCCGGCCTTCCAGCCCCAGGCCCCGCTGCAGTCCCCCGGGCGTCGGCGTGAGCAGTGGGTGACCTCATGCTGATGACTCAGCAAGTCTCCCTCCGGGCTCTGGCACGCGAGTGACGGAGCCGGCGCCGGCGCGCGCGGGGGCTTCCCTGCCGCCCCCCGCGCGCCGGAGCCGCCGGCACGGACACCTGATGAATCAGCAGTTCCGGGCCAGGCCGCCGGGCGCCCCGTTCGACCCCACCCTCTCCTCCCGCCAACCCGCCGCCCCTCCCGCCGGCCCCCGCCTCCACGCGTCAGCT